AAGTGTGTGGCCAAAACAGCCTACAACTATATATAACTAACTAATTAGCCCAAAATAAGGCTAACAGCCTATTAATATGTCTTAACCCTAATAACTAACCCAAACCCAACTAATAAAAATAATAAAAGACTTGGGCTTTAGTAAATAAATAGCTCTAGCCCATTACACCAAAATAAATCTTAAAATTACTTAAAATAGCCCACATAAAATAACAATTATTAAGCCCATGAATAAAGGCTTGGACGCCAACTTGGACCCAATTAGGGATAGCAAGAATCGGCTTTAATTCCTCAAACTTGGACTTGGGCTTCAATCTTGTTAACAATCTTTTTGGATCCCTCTAAGGCATACTCGGCTTCATGCATTGCTTCCTTGGCTTCAAGTTCTTCAATTATGCTTGACAAGGCATATTGCATCTTTTTTCTTGACTCCTCGTAATCAGGCCCACCAGAATGTGAAGAAGATCTTGTGTCGACTTTATGACAACGGCTACTCGGTCATGTCCTCATCAAAAAAGGAAACATAGACAAAAGTAACAAAAATTAAAGCACACGTTATCAGAGAAAATTGAGTAACTCAATTAATCCTAATAAACTATGCCTTAATTAAACAAATAAAATCAAGCAAATTAAAGAACTAGTGATTGAAACGATATGTTAAAGGGAAATAAAAATTAACTACTACTGACCAAGCCTAAATAACACCAATAAAAACTAATTTAAGAACCAATGAACTAAAACCTAGGTATCTAATTTCACAATAATAATCTAGTTTTATGTCAACTATCAAACTATTATTATCTCAATCCAATTTCTAGGGTTTGCACTCACCTAATTAAGGTATTACCATGAGGCGTTTGAGATTAACCTAGTATTTTTAACACAACACTAGCTAAGGCGTATAGTCTAACCTTGTCTCACACAATCAATTAATTAATATTAGAGGTGATTAGGCAATAACATCAATTAAAGATTGGATAAAAGACAATGAATAAAACTAGAATTGCGATGGAATGACAAACCAAATAGAATTAATAAAGACATAAAACCTCCTTATTAGGCTACATTGGATCCCTAGAAAATTATTTAGTTACACATGATCATAAGGAAATCAAATCTCAAACCCTTCAAAAACATGAGGTACAGGAGAAAAAGATGAAACCCTAGGTAGATTTCTTCTCCTTGCCTCCAATTCTCTCCAAGTTGAAGTAAAAGTTCTCCTTTTAAAAATAACTAAAGACATCCGTTTTTAGTGATAGGGTTGTGGGAAAGTAATGGGAAAAATCCTATACAAAATAGGAGAATAAAATTCAATTCCAAGCGAAATAGAATAAGAGAATCTTAACGAAATTATGATTCCTTCACATGAGCTATGCAAAGGTATCCAAAAGAGAACACGCTAGCTTTTGAATCTGGAAATCTTGTGAACATATTAATTGTAAGTCTTAAAATAAGCTTCCAACACTTCAAGAATCATCCAAATCTTAGGTCTACAACTCAAGTTATTGTAGAAACACTAAAACATGTTCTAGAACCCGCGTCTGTTTGTCTTCCATGCACTGACGTAACTTTCATCACCATTTTTAACCATTCACCTGGTTGAACTGCATCATGATTTAGAAAGTTGTAGCCCTGTCTCTTAGCTTTAAAACACCACTAGAATCAGGGCAATCGGAGTTGTGTAGCTCAAGTTATGCCCATTTTCATGCAGCATGTTCTGGTAGAAAAACTCCCAAGCATAAAATTCATGAAGTGCGCCGCGACATGATATAGTAGCATTGTGGCATGAAGGTTTTGTCCATTTTGCAACTTTTTTATGCTGCGGTGTGGGAATAGTTTCGCTGCAGTGCATGAATAGCTCTACTGTGGCGAACAATCTTCAAAAATCTATAACTTCTTCGTTTGAGCTCTGATTGTTAAACTATTTATTCCTACATGATTCTAATTCTTTCCTCTTCAATGTCCTGTTTGAAATCCTCATTTTTCAGTACCTAAGCACCTAAAAATTCAAAAAACATACCCATGATTCTAGAAAACAAAAGAGATACATAAATTAAGTAAAATTAACCAATTAAACCTAATTCCCATACAAAATACCCTTAAAATCACTAAGTATGAGTGCACTTCCAAGCACTCATCAAGTCTCTAATTTGTCACATGGATCAACTATTGTGGAGTAACAAAGACATCTTAATACCCTCATGTGATTGTTGTCTGGCTTTTTTTCCAAAAAGTAACTCATATGGAGTTTTTCCCCAAGCACCCATGTGGGCATGTGATTGACTACATAGGTAATAGTGATCACACATTCTCCCTAAAAGTTTATGAGTATATTAGCTTGGTGTTTGAGGGCTCGGGCTACTTCTAGGAGATGACGGTGTTTTCATTCCACCACCCCATTTTGTTAGGGAGTGTAGGTATAGGAACTCTCATGTAGAATTCTATGGCTAAGGAAAAGGGTGGAACATTGAGTATGGAAAAAGCCAAGGGCATTATTGGTACGTACTCTTTTGACCTTTTGTTGAAATTGTGTTTGGACCATGGACAAGAAATTTTGGATGTAAGAAAAGGCCTGTGATTTTGATTGCATAAGGAATACCCATGTACCCCTAGAGTAGTCATCAACTGTGGTGAGGAAATACGTAGAGCCATCATGATTAGGAATGTGATAGGGTCCCCATATATCTATGTGGATCAAGGTAAACAGAGTGTTTGTGGAGGAAGTGCTTGTATTAAAACATACTCTTGATTGTTTTGCAATAGGGTAAGTTGGACACTTAGGTTGAGGAATGGATGCACTATGACCCAAGCGTTGATAAAAAATAAAAGAGTTTGTATTGATATTTGTATCACATAGAGATTGTTGTTTATTTTTAATAAAATTGATAGACTCTTTATTTTGGACAGAAAAATCTAAAAAGGGCCCCCAATAGTATAGACCATGTGATAAAAGCTTGAAAATACACATGTAGTTCTTTATGGGAAATTAGGTTTAATTTATTCAATTTAACTTAATTATTTCATAAATATCTTTTATGAGGTCATACGTATGTTTTGAGTGTTTTCAGGTTATCAATGTAAAGATGATATTTAGATGAAGAATTATGTCGGTGGGAATGTGTGACAACAAGAAACAAATGATTCATGATTCAAAGTTAAAATGAGAAAGTTATGCAATTTGTAGTTGAAGTGAAAATCTTGGAAAACGCTCTAGTTTTGAACATGCTTCAGTTATTCAACAAGAACTTCAGCTTTAGATATTGGATCGAGATGATTCTTGGACTGTTGGAAAGATGATTCAAATGGCGACAATTCATATCGCTACTACTTGGCCAGATTCAAACATTATCATGATTAAAGATCACCATTTTTTCAAGATCACAAGTTCTAGGGCAAAATCAACTATGCCCAGGCACAACCGCAATTCTAGAATTTTCAGCATTAATTGTATGACTATTTTTCTTGTTTTAAGAGTTCTAAGCTGAATAGGATAGGGGGAAACACAACCCTAACACCTTAGTGATATAAATATAAATCTTTAGTTGATTTTTAGGGAGAGAGAGAGAGGATAGAGAAGAGATTAGCCTCTATTTCTAAATCAAAACAACAACTCTTGAGGTTTTTGGCTCATCATCTAGGGAAATTTTCTTTTATCTTTTTTCTTGAACTTATGTGTATAATGGTTGTTTATTTTTATTTGATTATGAACTAAATAAAGTTTCTAAGGCTAAGATGTAGCCCAATTCTATGAATATATGTTGATGTATTGTTGTTAATTTTTATTAAGCATTCTTTCTAAGTTTTATTATGGTTCTTAATGCTTTAATTCTTTTAGGCCTAAGAGTTGATTGATTTAATGGACTAGGTTTAGATCGAGAGACGAAATCTAGTTAGTCTAATGTAATAAGACCATAGGTTGAGTGAACACTAAAGATAAGTTACTGAGATCTGTGAGGCTTTGATAAATTCCATAGAGCGTAATGATCTCTTAAGACTTAAATCCAATTTAGAGATATCTTGGGTTAGTAATAAAGGGTTAATCTGGTAATTGTTCGAGAGAAAGTTGTTGGAATTCTAAGGAGTTTGGCTTGTAGAAAAAGCTTAGAAATATTAGCAATAATTATTAACACTTAGGAGTAGAATTGGTGTGAAGTGTATGCCCTAGGTTTAGTCAAATTTGCATGACAACCATTGTGTTTTTGTTTAATTTTAATTTCTTCCAGATTTTTAATTTGTTTTAAATTTTTAAATTTAGTTTATCTCTTCTTTAAAGTTTCAGTTAATCAAATAGTAATAAGATAGTTTATTTTGGTAATCGGTAGCTAGTAATTCTCTAGGGTTCGACATCCGTATACTTACACTTTATTACTTGCTTGATTTTGTATACTTGTGAATACCCACATCAAGGTTTTGGCACCATTGCCAAGGAATTACTATTTTGTTTCATCAAAATCAATACGAGTTATTTTATTGTTAATTTGATTTTTTTTGTTATTTGTAATTAGTAGTTTTAATATTAAAATTAGTCTGTTCTTTTATTTTAAATTTTTAGTGTGCTAAAATTTTCTTGTTTTCAGATTCTAATCGTACATAGGAATTAAGTTCAATGGTTGATATAGGAGTTGAATTGTTCAAAGAGCATTTAAAGACAACTCTAATCCTAGAATTGAAGGATGTGCTTCTAGCATTAGGAGACTACTGGTTCAAGCAAATAGTTTTGAGATCAAGCCTTCTATTATTCAAATGATACAACAATCAGTGCAATTTTAAGGGTTGCTAAGTGATGATCCTAATTTGCATATTGCAAATTTCTTGGAGCTTTGTGACACTTTCAAGCATAATAAGGTATCCAATGATGCAATCAGGCTTAGGCTTTTCCCATTTTCTCTTTGGGATAAAGCTAAGGCTTGATTAGTTTCACAACCATTTAGAGGAATCACCACTTGGGATGAATTGGTTCAATTGTTCCTTGCAAAATATTATCCACCTATCAAGTCCACCAAGATGAGAAGTGATATCACATATTTTTTCCAACAATATATGGAGTCACTTTATGACACTTGGGAGAGATTTAAAGATCTTTTGCGGAAGTGTCCTCACCATGGGTTGCCAATTTGGTTACAAGTGCAAACCTTTTATAATGGTTTGCTCCTTTCCATGCAGGTTATGGTAGGATGCAACGAGTGAGGTGCTCTTAACAATAAACACCTAGAGGAAGCTTACAAATTGATTAAGGTGATGGCTAGCAAAAACTATATGAGACATTTGGATAGAAATTTCCAAGGAAAGTACAGGATTTCATGAAGTAGATGGCACACCAATTTGTCCACTCAACCGCAGCAACCAAAAGCAATTGGGGTTAGCTCTTATGGTTAATTTCATTGATTCTCATATTTTACTTGTGATTTTGTACAGGGAATAGTTTGACTAGAGATTGTCAAGTGGGAATTTTTTTGCTCAACCTAAACAAGTGCATTATGTCAACACCTTCTAAAGAGGGCAAGCAAACCTATACTCTCACACTATACCCTAGCATGGCAGAATCACCCCACTTCACTTGGAGTAACAACAATGATGCTAAGCCACCTCTCAGTTTTCAAGCTCAAGAGAATGAATCAAGTTTGGAGGATGTGCTTACCAAATTTATTAAAGAGTCAGCAAGAGATTTGACACAGAAGGAGTACGTTGCAAGATCAGTCTACATCCATAAGAAAATCTTGAGACACAAATTGGTCAAATCCAAGTATTTTAGTGGAGAATTCAAGGAGCATTCCCAAGTGGTATCGAGAGAATCTGAAAGGACAACTCACTGCCATCATGTTGAGAAGTGTAGGAGTTGTAAGAATTAAGAAAGTTAAAGAAATTGAGGAAATGCTGAAGACATGAACTGGATAGAACCGTCAATGCCCCACACAGTGCCTAGGCACAAAATCCAGAATGAGGAATCCCATGGCACATGCCAGGCACAAAACCAGAACTTGAGAAAAAAGCCCAAGATGTAAGAAAGACAAAGCATCTCTTTCGTATCCTCATAGACTACAGTTGGACAAGCAATTAGGTAAGTTCATTGATATGTTTAGAAGCTTACACATAAATATTCCTTTTGTAGACATGTTGAAGCAATGCCAAAGTACGCGAAGTTTCTAAAGGAGATCCTCACGTATAAAAAAGGTTTGAAGACACTGAGATGTCATTGCTCACTAGAATGTAGTGCGTTGCCTCAAAAACTTACCACTGAAATTAAGAGATCCAGGAGTTTTATTATTCCTTTCACAATTGGTAGTTTTTATTTTGATAAAGTTTTATGTGATCTAGAGCTAGAATTACCTTAATGCCATTTTCTAGTTTTAGGAACTTGGTTTATAAGAGGTGAAGCCAACCACGGTTCATCTTCATTAGCGGATAGATCCATAACTATCCTAGGGGAGTGGTGGAGGATGTCCTAATAAAGGAAATAAATTTATCTTTCTGGTAGATTTTTATATTCTTGAATTGGAAGAAAACCGGAACATACCTTTAATATTACGAAGGCCTTTTCTAGCTACTAGTGGACTTTAATAGATGTACTGTAATAGCTCTCTTTCTACCAAATACTCATAAAACATGTACATAATAAAATACATATAAAGTAGTATAAAAGGTTGGGCCCAAATTTTTCTTTTATTATATATACATTCTTTTACAAAAAGTTGTATCATGTACAAACATCAAACAAGGTGGACAGTGGCCATATCTCTTCGCTTGCTGACGCCCTTCCGACTGTATCCTCACCTAGGTCCTGCAAAACATAGAAACAGCGGGGTGAGCATAACTAATGCTCATAATAAATCCTCTACTCATCTATCCCTGTAACTCTCTCTCCAATTTTTCCTACAATTCTCATTTACTCTCTATTATACTTCCCTCTCTACTTTCTCTTCTCATAACTCTTTTTACTAACTCTCTTTAGTGTCACGCCCTCATCTTACCGAGGCACGGCTGGGACTCGCTCCACTCTACGTGACTTCTACTCATACTAGCTGATCGGACTCGGTTATGCATGGATTCGGAACCCTTGGCCATGTGAGTGTATATTCTCTCTCTCTTGGGTACTCTCGGGTATAGCCCTCATCCGCATGCACTCTCACGGGCTACACCACTTCTCTCTCTCTCATACTCATGCGCCGCTCTCTCAATGCACGTACATGCAGGAAACTCTACCACTACCACGGTTCCCCATCGCACAACCTACTCTATTCTCTTTTCTCTTCGTTCTCTAGTGTCATTCTCTCTTTCTCTCTCTTTACTCTAAAGGCTTATACCACATTCTCTACTATTTCTCAAGCTACTTCTTAAGTGCATAAATAATGCGTATGGACAGTTCATGCTCCTAATGCACTTAGAAATGCCAATGCAATGGTACATCAAAGACAGTCATTCTGCATAGGTCACACTAAAAAGGGCATAACTTGCGTTATACACATCGGATTGCACGGTTTTAGTCTCGTTTTAAAGCTTAAAACAGGGCTACAACTTTGATGTTTTGGTCTAAGCCCCGTTCAATCCGTAATATGCCAAAATTCACTTATAAAGTCACGGCTGTGACAAGGCAGATTTCACTTAGGCATTTCCTCAAACAGCTCATGTGCATACCAAGCTCTCTTATCTAAACTCTACTCTTCTCTTTATCATCCAAATGGGAGAAAAACTCCCCATACAATCATAATTCTTGCCAATAAACACTCCCAAAAATATTCATACACAACTCCTCCAACTTCACACTCATTTCACTCTCTCATCACACATTAATAACATTTCTCATAATTTAATCATACTCAACAACTAGGACTAAGCACACATCTCATCTCAATTTTTCAGTAGGTATAACATATACATACATAATTAAAATAAATCTCTACTCAAAAGCTTTTCAAAACTCAACTTGTTTGGATTTACTTACCTTTACTGAAGAGATCTCACTAAACTTTTCCTTTTCCATAGTACCTTTTCCCTTGTCCCTCTCTACAACTTTAAACCATAACCATAAGACTTCAAGATACAAATTAAACAAACTATATCTAAAGCAAGAATCCTTACCTTAGGATCTTGTGAAAGCTTTACTAAAAAAATTCCCAAAAGCTCCTTAGAAATCTTGGAAGATTGGATGAGAATTGAGAGAAGTTAGAGAATGGATATGCAGTGGAAATGGGTGAAATGAAGGTTTTCTCTACCTTAATCCTTTTAGCTCATATATAACCATCATTTCCCATTTTGCCCTGCTCTTCCTTGGAAATTCCATCCATTCCTTTGATTCTTTGCAAATACACCTTATTACCCACACATTCTCTACTTAATTTCCTTACATTTTACTCCCCACTATGCCTACTAATTAGGGTAGAATTGTCATATGCCCCAAAGGAAGAATTCTCTAGAAACCTCAAAACTTTTTGTTAGCTCTTCGCCACGGCGAAGAACATTCCGCGCCCGCGCCGCGAAACATGCAGAACCTACCCTGGGTGCAATACCTCATCGCCGCGGCAAAGATTCTCCTTCACCCGCGCGAAGATTGGATTTCCAATTCACCAAATCTCCACCAAAACCAAGCGCACACTTAACCAATACAACATACAAACTCAATTGAAACTGAATCATGAGCTTTTAAGTAATACAACAAATCTTAAGTACAACCTCAAGCGGGCGTTCCAATTCTCCCCCCTTAAAAGAATTTCGTCCAAGAAATTCACATGAATAACTCCGGGAAGTGAATCGTGCATGTCTCGTTCTACCTCCCATGTTGCTTCTTCTACCTTGTGATTCCTCCAAAGGATCTTCACTGCAGAATACTCTTGTTTCGAAGTTCTTTAATTCTTCGTCTAGAATCTGTACTGGACGTTCCTCATACACAATATCTCTGCAACTCAATGTCCTATACACTCAAATATGGGAGGGATCACTTGCATACTTTCGTACAGTGAGACATGGAACACATCATGCACCTTGTCATACTAGGTGGAAGTGCCATCTGTAGGCAACTTTACCCACTCGTTGCAATATCTCAAATGGACCTATGAATCTCGGTGCAACTTTCCTTTGCTCCCGAAGCACATTACTCGTTTATAGGGAAACTTTCAAAAATGCCTTACACCCACTACTCCCTTCCCACTTCTTTCTCTTTAATCGGCATAACTTTTCTGTCGATCTTGGGCTTGTTTCATTCTGTTCCTTAGTAATCTTACATCCTCTATCATCTTCTGAGTCATCTTTGGCCCAAGAGCGGCACTCAACTCATCTTTTCACCGATCTCATCCCAATGTAGTAGACCTGCATCGTCTACCATACAAAGCCTCGATGGCGCCATCTTAATCGTAGACTGATAACTGTTGTTGTAGGCAAACTCCACCAAAGGTACATTTCATGCCATGACATTCTATAATCCATGTAGCAGGCTCTCACCATCCTCGCACCTGATTGTTCTCTCTATTTGGCCATCCGTCTGAGGATGATAGGCAGTACTGAATGCCAAACGGTACCCAAATTCCTCTGTAAACTCACCTAGAACTGAACAAAATCTGAATCCCTGTCTGACACTATGATCTTGGTTACACCATGTAACCGACTATCCTTTCACATAAATTTGAGCCAACGATCCGAAGTAGTACTCTCCTTTACTAGAAGGAAATGAGCGGACTTAGTTAATCTATCCACAATCACCCATATGCTATAACCTCTCTGTACCTTAGGGAGACCTGTGATGAATCCATTGAAATACTCTCCCATTTCAATTCCAGAATACTAAGTGGCTGAAGCAACCCTAACGGCCTTTGGTGTTCTGCTTTTACCTGCTGGCAAGTCAAACATCTAGCTACAACTTTGCAATGTCCTTCTTCATACTCTGGCCACCAATAGCCTCTCTTTACATCTTGGTACATCTTGGTTGCTCCATGATGAGCAGTGTACGGTGTGTCATGAGCCTCTAAAGAATTCTCTTTTTCAACTCATCATTCAGAGGAATGCACAACCGATTTCTGAAATAGGACACCATCAACTAAGTGGAACTCCATTGTCTTGCCCTCAAACACTTGCTGCACTACTTTCTAACACCACTCATCGGCCATTGTTTTTCTCTACT